TCTAATTTTCCTACATTTATGGTTCTCACATTCCATGTCCCAATCACCAGTGTCTGCTTACAACTGTTCCTCTTCCTTTGTATTTCCATACTTGAAAACTCAACCTCCTTTGCCATTTCTGTTATCTAAATGTGTTCTGTTGTAATTTTTAAAAAATCTTTTTTCCCCCTCTCCATCAATGAGATGTTAAAAATACTAGTTTCTTGAATTTTCTCTGTTGATGCTGTTACTTGCAATTAAATTCCTTCAACTTACGGTGACTTCATGTGTGAGGACAGGGCAGTGTCTGCCTGGTGCCAGCCTCACAGTCCCTGGGGTGACTGCGCCCACTGTTGCAGGCATTACGTCACTTCTGTTGTAATATCCAGCAGGACCAGCCCCGTTTTCTCTGCTTTCTTCTTAATAACTCTTCTAGCTACCCTTGTTCAACCTCACCTATGACCCAGATACAAGAAAAGCCGCTTGTTTTTTTGGATTTGCTATGTCCCAAGACATTTAAGAAACATTTCCTGCAACATATTCTGAGATCAGCTCTACACAAACGTTTTTGGATAATGTGTTCTGGATGGACAAGGAAGAAATCGGGTAACATATTAGGCAGGCGGTGTTTATGGGCTCAGGACAAGCCGGGGAGGTCACTCCGCTCCCAGGGCAGCCTTCCCTCAGAATCCAGCAGAGATTTACTGAATCCTCACTGGCTCCATGCTATGTTAGTAACAGCTCCAGAGAGACTGGCCTGTACCAAGGACTCAAGAAAAGAAACAACCATCATGTTCACTACCATCACAGTTAAGTTTATTCGGCATAAAGTACATTGTGCATAATTTAGCAAAGATCAAATACTGTAATAGAAAACATTTACTTTCAGGCATTGGAAGATGTACCTGTTGGCTCAATCTTCACACAAGCACAATAAATACACTGTCACCCCAAGTAAAATCGCATTAAAAAATTTTTCTTTTTTAAATCTCATTTTTAAAGAGAGTCTCAAAAACATTTTTCTTTTCAAATGAAACAAAGTCAACTGGTAATGAAAATAAAGCTCCACCAGACAGGCAGCTCCATTTCTCTTCTGGTCGCCTGACACGTCTGTGGCCAAAGAGCCCATGTGGGAAAGCGGACCAGGTGACCTCCTTCCAAGAAGTACCCCCCCAGCCGAATGAAAACTGTCCTTCCCCACCAAGAATAATTTAAGAGATTAGAGACCCTGTCAAAGCAAAACACAGTGTCCCACCCACATTACTTCCACTTCTGATCTGGCTTGAGTCTATCTGGTTGGCTGAGATACTAACTAAAAATGGAAAGCTACTTTTGGTGGTAAGGAAACAAAATTGGAGCACTTCTCGGCTGCGTGTTATTTCTTGCACTAACCTGACGAGGAGAACAAACTCTTCACTGGGAAGAGGTTCATAATGCTTCAGTGGAACGGACCTTTTCTTTTCAAGGGGAGATGTCAAAAAGAAGTCTTTCTGGCAGTTAATCAACAGTGACGCCACCTTTCACGTCCTCAGAAGGACCAACTTCCTACAGGATCCAACAGTCTTAGCTGTTGAGAGCATGGTTTGCTCTAGGTTGACCATCCTTCTTTATATCAATGTCTTTCTCCCAGATATGCAGGAACTAAGCAGAATGTAGCCCAATATGCCTGTGCTGACAGCAGCTCTAGGGGATTTTCTTTTTAGAAGGATCTTCTCAATAGCCAGCTGCCAAGTGGAGTTTATTTTCACAGTCTCAAAGTTTTTATTTATTGTTGTTTTTCGGTTCTGTGAAGTCAGAACTGACTCCTACCTGACTCTCCAGAGGGTTTATAAGGGCTGTAAATCACACTGGAGGCGAATGCTCATCTTTTTCCCAAAGCGGCTGGTGGACCTGAACTACCTCCCTTTGGGCTGGTAGCTCAAGTCCTTATCATTAAGTCATCAGAGCTTTGACTTCTCGATCGTACCTGTGATCAAACAGTCTGATCGAGTGTGATAACTTATGATGGAGTTTTTGTAAGAAAACTTCAAGTAAAATCAGTCTTCTTGACTGTACTTTGTAATGACTTAATATAAAACTCAATAAGACTAAAACTAAGTGACATTTCAGCGCTGCTGCACTAAGATGCACGAGTGCCACCTAGTTTTATATTTTAGTGGTAAAACGGAGATCCAGTGTTAGCACCTGTCTACAAGAGTTAGTAAATGTTAATGAAAATATGACATGACTTGGCTTACTGGAAAGTAAGTCATAACATCCCCTCAGGGAGGTAATCTGGGCTGTTTATTACATCTTGGTTCATGGAAAAGACTAACACTAACAGAGAAATGAAAGGATAGGGTTTTGGTAAAGGCATTTTAGTACTTGAATGAGAAGTACTAATGTCATGTTTCTACAGAGCAGAAGCATATAGCACATAGAGAGTTTTAAGGAAGTATGTTGCTACCAAATGTACGTCAAAGTGGATGACGTTTAAAATGTAATCTGTTTCTGTTAGGCGCCACTGAGTCAGAATCGACTCACAGCAGACACTGCAGCAGGTTTTCAGAGGCTGTAAATCACACAGGAGGAGAATGCCCATCCTTCTCCTGAACGGCAGCAGCTGGTGGCTTTGAACTGTGTGCCTTTGAGTTGGCAGTGTAACTCCTTACCACCAGGCCACCAGAACTCCCTAAAATGTAACCTAGGAGAAAGAGCAGAAGTCATGCTACTGATCGATGCCCTTCCTCTTAACCAGAAACTTTCTCGTCACTACATTTCAAAAGTGGAGCGAAGCATCCTAAACAACGGACAAACTTTTATGTTAAAACACACTGAACTGAGACTAACCATTAGCTATTAGACAGGGTAAAGACATGCGAGGAAAATAAAGTGCATCTTTATGGCACAGAACATAACAGATTCAGAACTCACTGCTCCAGATTCCAAAAGAGACCGCAGGATCAAATGTACCCAGTGTACAGAACAAAGTTAGATTCAAATGAAAAAATCTTTTGGTTGAAAAATTATAATTTTTCAATACATCACAGGGGCAAATAACCTTTTATTTAAAGCTATGAGATTGGAAGACTCCTTTGTGTCATTCTGTAAATTTCACTTCTGGGTGGTGCAAAGGAGCCACTTCTCTAGAAGGCACTAACTGGTTTAAGTGTGCAAGTAAGTTACTTCATGACAAAAACATGTGCAAAGCACAGGCAAGAAGACTGACTGGTTCTTGACTGGTTTCCTCCCTCTTCACCAGACACTCCGAGATATTGCTGAGGAATTCTACCAGCCACAGGCTTCCCGACACGGCCTCCAAGTGCTCAGTCCACTGTGTCACAGATCTCCTTGACCTTCTCGTTGAACTCTTCCGGTTGGTCTGCATACACGTAATGTCCCGCTCCAAGGATGGCCTGGGTGAGGAAAGGCAGTTGGCCAGCCCGTGAGTACAGCATGCAATAAACACAGCGATAGAAGCAAAGACACTAGCAATAAAAGTGGGAGCAGTGTGTTTATTTAACTGAGGTACAACAGAAAGGAATAAGCAACACTGATCTATGAAACAACTTCCATCAGTTAAAGGCTCTGAGATTAAGTAGAAAATGATTGAGTCTTGAATCTTAAAAAAAAGTATTAACACACAAAACCAAAATGACTTAGCACTTTTGTCTAAACTGCAACTAACAGCCAGACCACTGGGGAAACTGATCAGAGTGAGAACGCCCTGTCTGGTGAGAACTAGTTGCCTCCATGGCTGGTCGAGGTTCCTTTGAACCAGTCCCCCTTTCAGCTGGTCCTAGTCCCAAGATACTATGGTTTGAGGGACAGGAAAACCCCTATGAGAGGTGGTTGACTGGATGTACCGGTCAAACCTCACCCCATGACACGTGATGCTCACCAAATCCCTAACTGAGACTCCAGGTGCAGCTCAGAAACCACCTGCAACCTCATCAAGACAAAACCCAACAGCCTCTGTCTACAGCCGAGCTCCCAAGACACCACACACACTTACTATGGTCTTCACATAGGAATGTGGTCGTAACGACTGGATGCTGGTGCCAGAGTTGCCGTCGATGCAGGACCGAGCGCCGAAGATCACCGAAATGGGAATGTCGGCGTGCATTTTGCCAATTCTCTGGAGCATTGGCCTCTTTGCCCAGCCATAAGGAATAGTCATGTTCTTGAAAGCGGACTCCCCACTGAGAGGGAAAGGAGAAGGTCGCGTGAACGGTGTGAGGAAAGGAGACACACCAGCACTCCGCTGGCGATCGAAGTGCACACACTTTTAGCCTTTCTCTCACTCGGGGACCACCGCACCTTTGCTGATGCTCATCTCCCCACTGTACAAGCTGGAGCCGAATGTCACTCCCTTTTCCAGTTACATAATCAGACCCAGTGGCCATGTATGGAAGATGACCACTTCAGTAATGAACGGGAGGGGAAACCTTTACAGTTTTAAACATTAACTGAGTTACTGTGAGGTCTGCTCTGAATCACACTCTCCTAGTTTCTCAATTTGTTTTGCTCTTTACATGATGGGCTGAATCAAAGCATCTTCCTCTGAGATATTCCAAGCTGCCCAGCACCCAGGTAATCCTGCAAGCACCCCAAGATCCAGGAACAGCTCTCTAAGAGCAGCCTGGGTCCCCTAAGATGCACCCTCCTGAACCCTCTGTCTCTATTAAGAACTTTCAGGTACCACACGCATGCCCCTTGTGCCCCCTACTAAAGGACAGCCATCCTGAAGGGCACGCTCTATGATGATCTTGTGATGATTAAACGGCTAACCTGGGAAACACCATGTTGGAGGTCAAAGAGCATGTACTTAATGATTTGCATAACTTTTGCTTTTCTAAGACAACTCCACCTCTACCTCCTAAAAGTGCTGAATAAACATGAGCTCTTCCCCCTGCCCTTAACCTAGCTGACAAATAACCTCTCAGAACCTTCCCTTCCTGAGTTATACCTGTACCTGCATGTAACAAAACTTCTGCTTTTTCCACTCCAAGAGAAGGAGAAAAGTCACAATTCTGCAAACCCTGTGGGGCAGGTTGACTGCACATGAAGTGTCACCGTGAGTTGGGCTGACCCCAGGGCAAGCAACAACAATCGTCTATCATTAAAGTGCTCAGTGGCTTCTTGTGGAGACAACTGTTTCTCACTCTGACTTATTTAAAATTAATACAGAAGGTAACTTCTGCCGCTGTTCACGGCACCTGCAGTGGCAAAATCAATACTATGTGAAGAGACTTGCATTAATTATTTTGCTAGAAAAGCATATTTTTGTGGTCATTTCTACTACTCATATGGTAGTAGGCAGAACTGCAAATTGCCTTGCATGAAGAATTCAGATTTCACCATAAGAAAGGCACCAAACTAGGACTATAAGGCACATTGTGACTGTGAAATATGTCTGGGTGAAGAGCAAAACACTGAGATTATGGGGAGAAAGAACGGTGTTCTTGGGACAGAAAGTGTTCTAAAAGAACTGTTAGAGCAAGTCATTAAAACTGTACAGACCTGATTGATCAGATCTAATGTTACAAAGTATCATTTATTTGAGGACCTCCCTCCCACTCCCCTCTTGGCAGAGAACCTCTAACTTATTTTATTAAAAAGCTACAGTGACACCTCAGTATCTTCCGCAGCCTCAATCTTTTCCTAAACTAGTAGGACTTATTCTTTGTCAAAATGAGAAGAGAGAATTAAAAGACCCAAAACTGAGGGAGGCTGTCTCTGCTTCTGGCCTCTTAGTCTTTCACCCCTGTCCAGTCCTGGGAAGGATGAGGGACCACTTCTAGTTTATAAAGGGTGAGGGGCCACTTCTGATTCATAAAGGGTGAGGGGCCACTTCTGGCCTGTAAAGGGTGAGGGGCCATTTCTGATCTGTAAAGGGTGGTCCATGCTCCAGCTGCACTAGAATCAATGGAAATGAAAGCGCACTGCCACTGAATCGGCTCCGACTCCTAGTGGCCCTGCAGTGAGTGGGGTGGTGAGGCTGTACATCTTAACAGGAGGAGACGACCCATCTTTCTTCAAAGGGACAATTGATGCGTTTGAACAGCAGGAGATACGTGGCCGTCTGATAACAGCACAACACATTACAGTCTCTGCTGCCAGAGCTCCTTTGAGTCATCCGAAGCCTAGTTTAAGAGATGCAGCCCAGAAGTCTGAATGGGCATCTCAGAGTAAGAGCCCAGGAATGGCACTTTCACAGGCTCTCCAGTACCCCAGGCCTCTCGTCTTTATACTATTCCTGATGTTTCCCTTAACAGCTCCAGGGCCTTGGTCATTGAGCATCTTTCTGGCCTTCCACTATCTTTAGGCTCTGCATTCTTTACTGATATCCAGCATCTTCAAGGTGCATGTGTGTGCATGCAGTGTTGCTGTTGTTTTTGTAAATAAACACTTTTGTGTGCACTGTCAAATCGGATCTGACTGGTACAGGAGGAGATTGCCCTTCCTTCTCCAGCAGAGCATCTGGTGGATTTGAACCTCATACCTCTGGGATTGCAGTGTAATTAAACACTTTTGGTTGTTCCTCCTCTCCCTCTGGCTAATCTCTCCTTCCGACCATGGTTCAAATCCATGCAGATCTGCTTCTATTCCTTTCCCTTTGCTGACTCCCCACCCCCACCCCCAAAGCAGTGCATCTGCAAATGTCAAGAGCTGCTCAGTGGAAGAGCACCTTGGAAAATAAACTGGAACGTGCTGTCCCCATCTCTGGTGCACTGGAGGAATTTCATCTGCTTTGGCAAAGGCTCTAAGATAACCTGCAGGCCAGAGCAGTAATGAAATGGAACCATCCTTCTGTTCAATCCAGGGAGCGCTGAGGGTGTAACGAGCACCAAGTGGAGACGTAACCCACGGACGGTGCATCTCTGACAGATCAGATCCTCCAGTGACCCCACGGGAGAAGGACGCACTAGCCTTCCACTGCCGTTTATGCAGCCTCAGAAAGCTGATGGACGGTTCCCACGAGTCGGAACCAACTTGAGGGCAAGGGGTGAGCCGTTTAAGACAGCGCTTCTTTTTGTAAACATTCACACTTAGTTTGAGAAATGTGGCCTTAGTGTGAAGTTATTCTTTACCCCTCATCTCCGATTCTCTCCGAGAGATAACCAGGAACACTGCTTCTTCTATGTATCTGTAACTCTATCAGCAGAACGGAGCTGGCGTGGTCTAGTGGTAAGAAACTGCACTGCAATCCGGAAGGCATGTGGTTCAAATCCACCAGATGTTCTGTAGAAGGATGGCCAATCTTCTCCCGTGTGATTTACTGCCTCTGAAAACTCACTGGAGGGTCAGCTATGGGTTGATTCTGACTTTGTGTCAAACAACAACAACAACAAAAACAACAATGTATCAGGAGAATAAAGTATGTTCTACTTTTTTGAGTCCTATCAGAAGTTAGGTACAATAAAATGTTTTCTATAACGAATTCTCTGAATACTTTATTAAGAAGTCCTAGACACATGTCCTTTTATATTTAATAATAATATCTTCTGGATTATTCATATGTTTCAAAAATTCTAAAACTAAACCTATATGTAGAATTGTAAAGGTACCTTGGAGTCTGGACGTTACAGTGGTAGATGTATTCGGTCACAGTTTCATCTTCAAACATTGACGAATACTTCCGTTTGAAATCAGGTCTTAAACGTTGCACTAAACTTAAACCTATTTAACATGAAAGAAAAACATTTAAGCTTGAAGTTATAATTTATGTGCAGACAATAAAATATAGTTTAGGGCTTACTTGTATAATGAGTGTTATATGCATCATATATATATAAATATATGCCTTGTTGTTGTTGTTAACAACACTTCTCACTTATCTGCTATCTTACTATCTGACATTTTGCATTTACCACTGTGATAAAAAAAATCTATTATCTTACTAATTTGCTTATTAACTAGATATGCCTGGCAGTAATGACAAGCAAGGTTAAGGTAAAGGTTATACTGGCTATGATGTGTCAACTTGGCTGGGTCATGATTCTTAATGTTGTGTCTGTGGATAGTACGTAAAGAGGCGGTCATTCTCCACTCTGGTATCTTTGTGGGCCTCTTCCATCTTCACACAATGCTGATTTCCACACAATGACTTGCCATAGAGGGGAAAAAAGCACAGACATTCAAAACTGCCTTCAAGTTGCCCAAAGGAAAGCTTTAAGTTAGACCTTGAGGGGGTTTATACTGACTTTAATTGCTCAAAACCAAGTATGTTCATTTTCTAAAATCTGTTTTCATAGGAAAATGAATTCTATTAAATATGGTAAGTGAGTAGAGTGACTCACTAATAAAACCAGTTTAATCTGTATTTTCTCCACAATTACAATGCATCAGCATCTACATGGAGTGAACTGGGATTTGTAAATGTTTCTGTGAGAAAATAAATGCTGGGGTTCTGCTTGGGGCACTAGCATCCCTGCTAAGAGTATCCATGGTAACTCCAGGGTCCTACCCCTAAGGTAGGGCTGCCAACTTTGAAGGAGAAAGGTCACCGTCCAGTCAGCACTTGGTCAGTTTTTCTTTCAGCTCCTACCGTTCACTCATTTCTCCTACAAAGTTTTACGAATTACACAGCTCCATCAAGAACGTTCTAATACAGCCGACAGTCTACAATGTCTTCTACCCCAAGTGTTAGCAATACTGGGAGACAGAGGTTACAAAATTGCTTTTAGAGTCCTCCCCTAGGCATCCTCCCTCCCCTACCACTGTCCCCTAAGTTATTTTTCTTTTCAAACTTTGTGTCTCTTACAATTGCTTTGTGATGCAATAAAATCCATTTCTATTTCAGGACTCCCTGAACAAAATGAAATCTCTTAAATCATCAAAGGAATAGGATCAATCACCCAAGAAGGAGTGGCTCCCCTGGGGAGCGGGACGAAAGGTGAGGACAGGGGAAAGTTAGCCTTTATGAAGAGGGAGTGGGGTCATCCATTCAATCTCCTGCTCCTCCCAAGTGCTGCAGCCCCTCCAGTCTATCACCATCTGGGACCACAAGGTGGGAAAATTCCCAGAGTTACAGGGCTGAGGGACAGACGAACTTAAGTCAGAGACTAAACACTAGTACCTCAAACCACGAATGGAAATATAAGTCAGGAGTCTCCAACATATTTGTGGAAAAGAATGACTTTATCTTCCTAAAATAGTGAGATTAAGGGGCAAGGCAGGGATTGGTAAATGGGGTTATTTCTATTTTTCCCCACAGTCAATCAAGAAAGGCCTTATGGGGATAATTATAGGGTTTCACAATCATGGGCAGAGGGAGGGGCAAATAAAGAAAATGGGAAAGATCTGGTGTGAAAAACAATGCACATGAATTTTGTAAGTAAACCAATATAAAAGAAAAAAGTCCTAAAAAAATAAAAAAGAAATCAAGGCCTCGTGCTCCACCAGCTGCACACATTCAACCACCAACTGCTCTCTCACGGTCACCACCAAGTCGGCAAGTTACACTTCTTTCTCACACACTGAGTGAGCTGACGCTGGCTGAAGGGCGCTCTGCTGGCCTGACTTGGTCAGGATCTCCGAAGATGACCAATCAGTATTCCCTTCCTAGACTAATTACTGGTTTTCTCTATGGAAGAGCAGTGAAAAAGCAAGGGTTGGGGGGGGGGGGGTTGGTGTGTGTGTGTGTTGGCTGGTTGATTTTTAAGACTTTGACAAAGGTGGTCTCAGTACACAGATCTCTACTGATAATCTATGAATCTTCTGCTCACCGAAGGGTCCTGCAATTCTGAGCCCAGCTAAAGGGTTAAAGGGGGTCAACACTGCTCCCAAGGCTCTGATCCAAACGGGAATTGGTCTGTCTTGATCAGCAAAGTCAGGTCTCTCAGGAAAACCCCAAGGCTCCACTAAAATGAGATGATTAACCCTGTTGGTGAAAGAACAAAGGTAAGTCTATTTGGCAAAAGCACCCCAAGACCATAAAGAATGTAAAAACATTTGTAAAGAAGAACAGAATAAAGTAAAAACCCTCTCACATTCATAAGAAGACTAGTAACAGAATAGGTTGTCACATTCTTATGTAAAAACTTTGAACAATAGGATAAATTTTGAGCACTACAGTGTAAAAACACTTTATTGTTAACATATCTAAATTTGGGTAATAAAAAAGGCTAAGAAGGCCAAGAGATAACTAAGTATCTATTCATGACAGAAAGAAGATAAGCATGTGTTTGTTGTGTGTAAACCACACTCTGGTCAATGATACAGAAAAATCCAAAGGCTCCAGGTATTTGAAATGAACACTGAGAAACAATGAAAGGTTTTCCTTTTACTCCTTTTTTTTTGTTACCTTACAAAGTTGGTATACACTGTGTTTCACACTATTCTTTATTCACATTGTATTTCATACAATCATTCACATGCATTATGTTTTATAAAAGTAATCACCATTGGACCTCGCCCACCATTAACCTGTCTTTTCACCCAGATCCTTCCCATTTCCTTCTCACCCCTCCATCCACCAAACTATGCAGCCCTGTGGTTTCACCCCTACCCATCCTCAGCCCTCTGCTCCCACCCTTGAGTTCCCATACATGTTTTACTAATTATCCTTCTATTTTTACAATACTGGCCTTATGCTGAGTGAACACAGTCTCGAAGGACAAATACTGCTCAAGTATCTTACTCTTCAGCCGTCAACAATAGTGACTTCTCACACATCAATCCCTTCAGATTAAGGAGTTAGGAAGTAGGTTCAGAAAGATGTGAACTGAACTTTTCACAAACACTAGGTAAATGCAATGTAAGCTGAAAATATAGCACTCTACCCACTGATCTGGGAGGTGGAAATTCATGTCCACAACCTATGAAATTATGATAAGTGGGCATTACTTTGACTGTAGGTTTGACACAAACCTTGAGAACAACAGACCCTGGAGGGAGAGTGTGAAGGGTTCTTGGCCCACACGCAGATCAATCTTTCATCACAGATGGGAATACCATGTAATCTGCTCTATGACACACAGCGGTTGATAACGGAGCAGGAGAGCCCAACTCCTCATTTCCCAACTGCATTATTCTGATTCTGAGAGGTGTCAACCAGCCACCGGGCCAAGGGCTCTCCTAAGAGCTGACTAAGCAATGTAAGACGAGTATGTTAATAAAAGCAGAGCTGACTGACTAGGTCAGTGCTGAGAATACCTGGAATTTCACAGCACTGAAAAGATTTGTTAAAAGGCTCGCGCAAAGCTCATATTCAAAGCTACGCCCAAGTATAGACTAGAACTATGAATCTATGTGGAGATAAATGCCACCTGAGTTTCATCCACTTAACAAGTCTCTTCTCATCTTTCCCTTTGCTCCTTATCTATGTGTTAAAAACCCCCAAATCT